CTGGGCGTGATGGCACGTATCTGTAATCCCAGCTACTCCGGAGGCTGAGGCAGAAGAATCACTTGAACCCGGTGGGCAGAGGTTGCAGTGAACTGAGATCGCGCCATTGCACTCCAGCCTGGTGATAAAGCGAGACTCTCCTGTTGAGCAGGCTAGAAAAAAGAAAAAAAAAAAAAAAAAAAAAAAAGCGAGACTCCGTCTCAAAAAAAGAAAAGAGCAATGATGCATGGATAATTTTGCAAATAAAATTCTTAGTTAAAAAAAATCTACAACCTATACTTTCACGCAGAACCCTCTGTTTAAGAATGTGACTGTTGTGCCCAGAGAGTAACAGAATGGCCTCCAGGGATTTGAAAATTGGAATCACCTTCCTTTTGCAGATTGTCATTGGAATCGTGGGGAATCTCTCCCTCTTGGGTTATTATATCTGCCTTTACTTCAGTGGATGCAGGTCAAGAACCATAGATGTGACCCTCAGGCTCCTGACTGTAGCCAACTCCTTGGTCATTCTCTCCAAAGGAATCCCAGAGACCATGGCAGCTTTTGGGTTGGAATTCTTCCTCAGCTATTTTGGATGCAAACTTGTTTACTCTGTGCACAGGGTGGGTAAGGGGGTGTCCTTTGGCAGCACCTGCCTGCCGGGCGTCTTCCAGGCCATCACCGTCAGCTCCTGGAACTCCAGCTGGGCAGAGCTCAAAGTAAAAGCTCCTAGACACGTGGGCACCTCCAGGATTCTCTGCTGGGTCCTGCACTTGACGGTCAATCTCTTTTTTCCTGCGAAGGTGACTGGCAAATGGAAAAACACGAACATCACAAAAGTAAGATATTTTGCATACTGTTTTTTTCCGCTTCATGAGAAAGCCTTACACAGATTATCTGCTGCAGTGATCTCCATCCCTGATGTGTGTGTCTGGGGCTCATGTTCTGGGCCAGCTGCTCCATGGTTTTTGTCCCGTGCAGGCACAAGCAGTGGCTTCAGCACATCCACAGGAGCGATCTCTCCCTGAGAGCCTCCCCTGAGACCAGAGCAACCCAAGGTATCCTTCTCCTGGTGGGCACCTTTGTATTTCTCTACACTCTTTCCTGCATCTTGCAAGGGTGTTTTGTGTTTTTTTCATCATTCAAGCAGGTTGCTGCTGACTGTCTGTGCCTTAATCAATGCATGGTTCCCAATTGTCTGCCCCTTTGTGCTCATGAGCCATGAACAGTGTCTCTAGAACCTACTGTGTTTTCATGGTGGATGGAGCCCACAGTCACCCAATCTCATCATCAAAAACATGCATGTTGTTTCTTTCTTTCTTTTACTCTTTTGAGACAGAGTTTTATTCTTGTTACCCAGGCTGGGGTGCAGTGGGCGAGATCTTGGCTCACTACAACCTCTGCCCCCCCGGGTTCAAGCAATTCTCCTGCCTCAGCCTCCCGAGCAGCTGGGACTACAGGCACGCACCACCACAGCTGGCTAATTTTGTATTTTTAGTAGAGACAGGGTTTCACTGTGTTGGTCAGGACGGTCTCGATCTCTTGACCTTAAGTGATCCACCTTCCTCGGCCTCCCAAAGTGCTGGGATTACAGGTGTGAGTCACTGTGCCAGGCCTAAAACATTTGTTTCTGGTTTTGACTGTGTTCAGTCCATGCACTCAGCCTGTGCCATATTCCCTGAAGATGCAGAGGGTGCATAATTAGCTCTGCCCTGCTACTCAAAGTCTCCTCTTCCTGACTTGGCTGAAATGAACCCCTGCCCCTCCCCTATCCTCGCCAGCACCTCAGATATTCTCAGCCAGAAACTCCCGAAACCCTCCTCTGGCTTTCAGTATCATAGCCCAGTAGGAGGGTATGACTATCTCCCTAGGAACTGTGTTCATGTCCCGGCGGAGTCTTCACTGAAGCTTTTAGTAAAATGCTCCTGCATGGGCTTCATGTTGGAGTTGGATGAATAATGACAACACCGGCTAATAACCAGAGCACAGAGACATGAAACGTGAGGCAAAGAAAGCTGCTGAATTCTAACTGTAAAACTTTGGGCCAGGAGGCTGAGGCAGGAAAATCACTTGAACCCAGGAGGCGGAGGTTGCAGTGAGTACCGCACTCCAGCTTGGTTGACAGAGCAAGACTCTGTCTCAAAAAAAAAAAAAAAA